GTAATATATTTAGTTAGCAGTGAAGCAAAGACAAAGGTCCTGCTCTTCAGAGACCTAGCATATATGCACAGTTCCAGAGCTTAATATCAAGTTCTTCAGGATCATTACTAATTAGATAGCATCTGGGTATCTTATAAAGAGAAATGGAGGGGTTTGTTTTTTTCTTCCCTTTTGTTTCTCCTTCCTTAATCCCTAATTTTTCTTTTTTAGGTGCTGATTCTCAGAATATCCAGGCTTATTTCAATAAGACTGCACACTTACCATGCCCATTTACAAACTCTCAAAACCTAAGCTGGAGTGAGCTGGTAGTGTTTTGGCAGAACAAGGAAAAGTTGGTTTTGTATGAGCTATACTTAGGCAAAGAGAAATCTGACAATGTTAATCGCAAGTATATGGGCCGCACAAGTTTTGACTGGGAGAATTGGACCCTGAGACTTCACAACGTTCAGATCAAAGACAAGGGCTCATATCAATGCTTCATCCAGCACAAAAGGCCTACAGGACTGGTTCTCATCTACCAGATGAGTTCTGACTTGTCAGTGCTCGGTATGTGTTCAGTGATTTGTTCTGATTCTTTCTTGGCCTTCTCAGATGAGTTTACAAAGGAATAGGGAAATATTAGAGTGGGGTGAGGAGAGAACATGGATGGGACCAGAGGAGAAGGGGGTGTCTATAGAGAGAAACAAAGAACAGCCATTTCTGGGAAGTCTATCTGAAGGGAGTTCAGAGTCTGGGAGTAGGGAACTGAAAGTCCTTTGTACTTCTATAGTCTACTTGTGAAGGATCAGTAAGAATCTGCTCTGGGGACAAAATAGAACCAATTGAATAAAGAGAGTATGGCTAAGGGAAAACTGTGGGTAATTTGGCCATTGCTATGTTTATATAACCATATAAACCTCAAATCTTTTACAATCATTTTCTCTTTTGGTGCAAAATTTTTTACTTACTAAATCTTTGCCTGGAGTTAATAGCAAGGGTGACGGCTGACTGATTTGGGTTTTCCCTTCAACCTCCTATAGATTGTTCATGAGTTTTCTGCCGCAACCATAGCCTGGCAGACAGAAGGGAAATAACCCAAGGAACATAACCCACAAACTGACAGATTAGCCCCTCTACTTCACCAGTTTGAAAGGTCTATATTTCACTATAGATTTTTTTAAACAGTAAAATTAATTTTTTCTTTTGGT